GAATAACATTTGCTATATTTGCAAGAAATCAATGTGAAGAACTAAGATCAGTCTGTTTCTTTTAATGTGTTGAGGGAAGGATGAAAACAGTGTCATAATCATATCTTGACTGTGTTTTGTGAATGATATAAATAGATGTATTACGAATGTTAATACTAAGTATGTATTGTATACAAGAATGCATGTATTATATATGTGTGTATGTACATGTACGCGTAGAGTGAGTGTGAGAAGTGTGTGTAGTGAGTATGAGTGTGTGTGTGAGTAATGAGTGTGAGTGTAGTATGAGTGTGAGAGTGTGTGCGTATGTGCTGTGTGTGTGCGTGCTTGTGTGCGTGCGTTTTTGTGTGTGTTTGTGTGTATGCGTTTGTGCGTGTGCATTTGTGCGTGTGTGTATGTGTGCGTATGTGTGTGTTGTGATATCGTGCAAGTGCGTGTGTGTGTCGCTGCGTTGTGTGTGGTGTGTGTGTGTGGATGTAGTGTGGTTGTGTGTGTGTCGCTGCGGTGTGTAGTGTGTGATGATAGTGTAGATGGATGGTGTTGGTGTGGTAGTGTGTGAGTAGTGAATGCTGTGCTGTCGCTGTCTTGTGTCTTTATCTTATGTAGATGGCTGGACGTGTGTGTGTGCTGCTGTGTGTGTAGTGTGTCTGGCGTGCGTCCGTGGCGTTGCGTCGTCGCCGTGCGTGCGTTGGATAACTGCGAGAGCATGCCATGCCCTGTGTGGTGTGTGTGTGCATGCCTGTGCGTGTGTACAACTGTAAGTGTGCCATGTGGTATCTAGAATACATTGTTATGTTATAATGTTTTGGTTTTGAGTTACACTCAATACATTTTGTCGAACTGTCTTCTTATCCATAACTGTCACACATACTACTGTACTTGTACTCATGTACCATAACACTATACTTACATCATACTACTGTACTACCTGGACTCAATAGAATACCTGAATATCACAAATACCACAACACAAACCCACACATCACAAACAACACACACACAGCATTATCCATACACCAACATACAGCACGATATTCACACATACATCACACACACTATTACTCACACCACAATACTATTACACCACACTATACATTTACACTACTACTATATATACACACACATACAATATATCACACATACAATACATCAACACACATCACTATACACCACATCACACAACATACACACATACATACACAACATTACATACACACTAATACATTACACACATACATACAGTATAACAACTACATACCATACCACTATAACACACACACCCATACATCACACACACACCACACCCACACCAACTATATTATATCACACACACACACCCACACCACACCACACACACACCACACACACTCACCCACACACACACCACCCAACAACCCACCACCACACACACCACACCACATCACCATCACCACATTGACAATAAGCACATCACACACTCACACACACACTCACACACACACTCACACTACATCACTCACACACACATCTCAATCACACAATCACTCACACACACTCACACACACTTCATCACACCACTCACCACACACACCACACCTCACAACAACTTCTACACACCACACTCACACACACACTCACACACACAACACACACCACCACACACCTCACACAACACTTACACACACATCACACAACACTATCACACACTCACTACCTCACACTCTACACTCACACTCACATCTCACTAACACACAACACACACACACATTCACACACCACACACACATCATTTCATCCACACCACACACACACACACACACATCACATCACACATCACACATCACATATATTACACACACATACACACACATGCAATCCACACACATGCACACACCACCATCGCGCAACCACACATGCACCCACACATCACACACAACTCACCTGCACCACATCATGCCACCACACTCATGCCACCACATATGCAATCACTCCATATGCCTACACATTCATTTCCTCCCGACGTTACCACATGCACACAACATGCACACACATCACTGCACCACGCACATAATGCACAGTAGAGTACTAACCAGTGTGATACATCCGCCACCATATCGCACCCACACTATCAGGCACAGACATAGCAATACACATATGCCATACACATATGCATACACTATCATGCCGACCACGTACAATATAACACTCACATATGCCCACCGCACAATATCATGCTCCACCTCCCATCATACGTAACACACACATATACACACACATACACATTTATACAAACATAAAAACATACATACATACATGCATATAATGTCATATTATTGCACCACACACACACATACACACACACCCACACTACACACATCACATCACCAGTAAATACATTGTGCAACATACACCCCACCATCACACCACATCATACCTCACTCCCAGCTACAGCCACGAACACACCACACATTCACCACGCACACACATCACCACCACTCACGTCTCATCTCTCCTTCGCTCG